ACGACCCGCGGTCGACTACGTGGGAATCCAGCGACATAGCCATTACGCTAACTGCTGGTTCCCTCCATCCCTTCTGAAGGGGTGATTTCTCACTGTCTCTCACTCTGTTTCTCTCTGGCGAGCACATGCACCCTATGGCAAAAAACAAAAACAAAAAACTTAAAAAAAAAAGGAATCACAAGTTCAATGAATAGATGAGGTTATAGCCTGTTATTTTTTTTCAGTTGTCCTCCATTTTCTTCCTTCCTTCCTTCCTTCCTTCCTTCCTTCCTTCCTTCCTCCCTATCCTCCCTCCCTCTCTCTCTTTCTTTCTTTCAAATTTTGCCAGAGGGTGTATGCAGTTGTTGGAGAGAAAGAGAAAGTGAGAAAGTATCCCCCATGGGGGATTGTCATGCTGCAGTCTCTCCTCCATCTCTCCCTCTTGGATTTTAGGCACGCGCACACACACTCACCTAGTATAGTTCTCAAGCCACTAGGTCTGGAACGCAAACCATGCAATCAGCCATATGTGACCCAGCCGCCTTAGCCACTATGCCACAGGCTGGCCTGTCCTCCCTCTTCAACGAAACTTTTGCCTCAGGAACTTGAACATGACAACTTTAATTAGGAGAAGAATGTACATGCACCCTGAAATTTTACCTGAATATGATCGTATACTTCCAAAGAATTCTTAAATTTGAGATGGATTGTCATTAAGGACTTCAAGACTATGGATTTTTTTTTTTTTTTTTTTTTTTTGCCTGAAAGTACATGTGCTTACCAGAGAGAGACAGAGGAGAGGAGAAAGTACCAACCCTTTCATGGGGAATGGTCACAACACAATCCCTCTCCATCTCCCTCCCTTTGAGATTTCGGGCATGCCCACACATGTACCTGGAGTGTGTCTCAAACCACTGGCTCCGGGACTGGAACTGCAAGGTCAGCCATGTGGGATCCAGCTGCCTTAACCACTAGGCCACAAAGCCAGTTCCTTTAATTTTTAATTGGGTTAAAAATCCATATCACTGTTTCAAAGTATATGCAATTGCAGAGGCTTTAGAAAGGACAATATTCATGTGCTTGAGCCCAACTCAGAAAAAAAAAAAAAAAAGTTAAATCAACCTCCTCCTAGTGCTAAAGAAAGGGGGAGGGCTTCAAAAATTTTGTGGAAAATGTGTATTATGAAAAAGACTATGTGTGTGGATTTCAAAAAGATTTTGCAACAAAATAAACTGATGCTTTAATTCCATTTTTCCACAGTTTCAGAAGTCCTCTCATACAGTGTCTCCTCTTACTTGGTGGTAGGTCAGGTCTGCTTGTTCTAAGGTTCATTGTGGTTGGAATGGAAAGGAAAGGCACAGTGAGATCAGGGGTAACTTGGCTTAGTAAACTGGTACCTAGACAGGCCTCCACAACTGTGTAGTGCTTTATTTATTCACTGCATTCTAGAGCATTTATTGTGCTCAAAAATTCAGTTGCTCATATACCAAGTGATGACTGATTGTGAGAAACTGACTCATGCTAAACACATGCCTAGGAGCCAGAACTCCCATTCCCACATTTTGATGGACAGTTACATTCGGTCCAGGTAGGTACATTCACCCGGAAACCCATGTCCTAAGCAGAACTTACTGAGTGGAAAATGGAGCAAGAAGAGATGGCCAGACAACCTACATGCCCAGTGTACCAGGCAGAGATGCCTGTGGTGCTTCTCATACCTGGGGAAGGTGCTAGACATAGTCCGTATTTACCCATCAGCCTCCTTGTCTGGGATTCATTCCTGATGGGCAACCCAGTCTTTGTCCGATTCCTTATGTTTGATTCTTTCTCTGATTCCCTATGTTTGTTCATTTTTCCCATTTAACTCTCAGAGGGAAGTCTTACTTCCAAGTCTTTGGGATCCCCATGCACAATATGAGGAATCTTTAAAAAGTTCATGGAAAATGTGTATCCTGATAAAAACATGTGTGGATTTTAAATATCGTTTGCATCAAAGTTAGCTTGTACTTTAATTCCATTTTTTCCACAAACTTTTTGAAGTACCTGAAAACCATATACTAACTATACGTCATTTACTCGACAACCTAAGAAACGTGATAAGTAGTGCTTATCTTTTATGTTTGTATTAGAATTAGCCAACCCTCATACTATTGCTGGTTTGAGTTTGTTTTTTTTTTAACTTTTTATTACAGATTAAGAATGCCCCAAAATAAATCAAAGATTTGGTCCAGAGCCAATGTGTATACTCAAGTGCCTGATGGAGGATGGGGCTGGGCAGTAGCTGTTTCTTTTTTCTTCATTGAAGTCTTCACCTATGGGATCATCAAGTCATTCGGTGTCTTTTTTAATGACTTAATGGACAGTTTTGATGAATCCAATAGCAGGATCTCTTGGATCATATCAATATGTGTGTTTGTCTTAACATTTACAGGTGAGTACATCTTTCAACCTAGCCATGACATGAGAAAATGCCTCCTCCCTTTCTTTATTAATTTGCTAGAGGGCACATGTGCTCATCAGACAGGGTTGGGGGAGAGAAGATTAGAAAGCACCCCCCATGGGGGATGGCCATGCCATAATCCCTCCTCTATTTCTCCTCTTGGGATTTTGGGCATGCACACACTTGCACTCATTGTAGTTTTCAAGCCACTGGATCCAGGACTTGAACCATGCAGTTAGTCATGTGGGATCTAGCTACCTTAACCACCATGCTACCCATTGGCTTGGTATGCCCCCTCTTTTAAAAAAATTTATTTTATTTTATTATTATTATTATTAAATTTAGTATAGGGCACATGTGCTCACCAGAGAGAATAAGAAAGCAAGCTGACAGATCCAGGACTCGAACCATGGTCGACCATGTGGAAGTCCATGCCCTTAACCACCACACTACCTGCTGACCCCCCGTTATGCCCCTTTTAACCTGCCTAATTCTGTAACGGTAGTTGGTGTGTGAGATGCGTTGTTCCCTTATATGGCCTGTTGACTCTTTGTACCCTTAATTGAGTAACACAGTTTTCAGAGGGTTGAGGATGAGCAAGAAGCAAGAGGCACTGAGGAGAAAAGCCTTATTTGCTGGCCTTGCCTGCCTTCGAGGATTAGACATCTCTTGGATTCTGCACACTCTAGGAGTCTGTCGATTACTTGAGGAGAGCAGCCCCAGTTCCACTGTCTAAAGAGGCACCACCAGAAGGTTCATGGCACGCTAGACCCCGATCTCATAAAAATATGCTCAGAAGACAGGGCAGAATCATGTAAATGTGCACATGGGGGGACTTTAATCAGTTCATGGATGCAGGAACAGACGGCGGCACAGCAGGAAAACACGATACTCTGTAGGCAACCCACATGGGAAGGTTCTTTGTTCAAGTCCAGAGACCTCACTGAATGCCAGTGTCTGTGATCCGGGGCAGGCTGAAGGCTGAGGGTGGATCATGGCATCAAGACTATCCACCAATTCGTCAGGACTCTGTTGAGGCCGCTCTCTCTCCTTCTCCTTTTCTGTCTCTCATGGAAGAAATAAATAAACTAAAACACTAACAAATTTATGGGATGCCTCCTAGCCTTGTTAAGTGTGCTGGATCCCACATGGCCAACTGAGGTCCGAATCTCAGCCCTAGCAGCTTAGAGAACCTGAGGGGCATGTGTGTGTGTGTGTGTGTGTGTGTGTGCACGCATGCACACACTCAAGTCCCAATGGGGTGAGAAAACAGGAGAATGGGTTGTGGTGTGGCTATGCCCCATTAAGACATGCTTTCTCCCCTCAACCCACTGGAAAGCACACATACCCTCTGGCAATTAAAAAAATTGGGGAGGGAGACCAGCAGATGGTGTAATGGTTACGTCGCTGGACTCCCATGACATAGTCGACTGTGGTTCAACTTGAAACTCAAGCTGGACACGTGTGCATACGTGCCCAGGATTCCAAGAGAAGAATAGAGGAGACGAGATTGAGGCATGGCCATCCCCTCTAGGGCGTGATTTCTCGCTTTCTGTCTGTCTCTCTCTCTCTGTCTGGTGAGCGCATGCACTCTATAGCAAAAATCTCTCTTAAAAAAAACTGGGGGAAAATGGAATTAAAGTATGGATTTATTTTGGTGTAAAACACTTTTTGAAATTCATGTATAGAGACTGGCCAGATCCATAGTGCAGTGGTTAAGCACTGTGCATGGAAAGCCAGATCCCATGTGTCTGACCAGGGTTCAAATCCCAACCTATGTCTAGAAAAATGTGTTGGGGGTGCACGTACATGCCCAGGACCCTCACGGGATGGAGAATCGGAGGAAAGGAGATTACAGTGTGACCAGGCCCTGAAAGGTATTGTTTCTTTCTCTCCTCACCTCCCCCTACATCATGTGTGCACACATGGTCTCTCTCATTAAAAAAGACAGAGAGGGACGAGAGGGAAAGGAGAGAGAGATGTAATGTATAAAAGGATGTAATGTAACATGAGAAATTTATGGAGACTAATAAGAGAAAAGGATGTAATGTAACATGACATATGCTGCAATCCCTTACCCCCTTGGGAACTTGGGCATGCACGCACATATCCCCACATGAGTTTTAAGCTGCTGAGTCCAGGACTCGAACTGTAGTGGACTACATGGGAGTCCAGCGATGTAACCACTACACCATCTGCTGGTCCCTCTGGTTTGAGTATTAGGATACTTAATGTTTAAATTGTGGAATGCAGGGCCAGCAGGTGGCATGGTGGTTAATGTGCTGGACTCCCACATGGCCCACTGTGGTTCAGGTCCCAGACTTAGTGGTTTGCTTTCTCACTAAAGAAAGAAAAAAAAGTAAAAGTATATTAAATTGTGAAATGCTTAGGTTTTCAGAAAGATTATTGAAATGAGTTAGAAGCAAAATTTTACATTTGATAATCTAAGAAAAAAAGATAATCCCAAAGTTTAAGTTTAAGCTCTTTTATAACCAAAGATAACAATGGAGTCAACAAGAAATTTTCAGTTAATGTTATTACCAGAACATAAGTCTTCTAAATGCTGTTATTCTAGTTGTCAATGCTTTGAGCCAACATTCTGGCTCAAATGATAATGGTTCCATTATAAGCTGCATTCAATATTGGCTTGCATTCTAATAACTAATATAATAGAGACGTGCAGACTAGCCCTAACAAAACTGAATCCGTTTCCCCCTCCACCTCTTATGGTCTAGTATGTCCTGTTTGCTTTTCCTTGACGCAACTCTCAATAGCTCCCTCTGCTCCAACTACCCAAGTCAATAGTAAGTAACGTATAACTAGGAAACTTATAATTTGCTAGACGGAACTGTCCCAGAGACGAAGTGAACAGCAGCTAAGCAAGTTATGATCCATCGGCTCCTTTGATTTCTCTGTCCATAGCAATCCTTCGTTAGGGGTGTATGACTGAGGGGTCACCGTCCATTCATCCTAGATCATTTTTAGAAACGTCAAATGACACTATCTGGAATTTGACCCCAACTTTTTAAAAAGAATCCAAAGAATGAATATATAAAGAAACTACTGGGTTGTTGGGAAAGTCATGACGCATTTTTTTGCATAGAAAAACATAGAAAAATACTCATGACTTTCCCGATGACCCAATATTTGGGCTGGCCCCATATCCTGGTGGCTAACGGAGCTGGATCCCACATGGCCAACCACAGTTGGAATCTTGATCCAGCAGCTTGAAAAACATGCCAGGCACGTGTGCCCCAGATCTCACCAGGATGGAGAAATGGAGAAGAAAGGGCAGAGACTGCTCCCTCGGAGAGTGCGCTCTCCCTCTGTCTCTCGAGCACACATGGCTTCTGGCAATTGAAAAGAAAAAAAAAAAAACAAAAACACAACCACACAGCTTACACAATCAATTAAAAAAAAAAAAAAAAAAAAAAAAAAAAAACACAACCACACAGCTTACACAATCATAGCAAAACCAGTTGTTATTACAGAATAGCATAACTTCAATGTATATCTAATGTTGTAGATGCTCATGGTGAGTATCTTTTACCTACTCTTTTTTTCTTTTTTTAAGGATCCCAAAGAATCTTGCCTGATTTGTACAAATGCTAAAATCCTTTCTGAACTGACCTGAATAGCCATCGTGTGGGCCGTATTGTGCACTGGCATCTGTCCACAGTGGTGACCTATAGGGCATGTGTGCTCACCAGAAAGACAGAGAGAGAAAAAAAAAACAAAAAATTACCCCTTGGGGGAATGGCCATGCCACAATCCCTTCTCCATTCTCTCGGGATTTGGGGTAAGCATGCACACGCGCCCAGCGTAAATTTCAAGCTGTCCTGTCCAGAACTCAAACCGCGGTCGACTCCATGGGAGTCCAGCAAAACTTCCAGCAACATAACGCCATCTGCTGGTCCCTGGAGGAAGGAATCTTACTGAGGCAAACACTGAAGCCTCAGGAATTCAACGGCACTTTCTGTTCCTCCCCTGCAGCTCCCCTTGCCACCATCCTGACCAACCGTTTCGGACACCGTCTGGTGGTGATGCTGGGAGGGATGCTCATCAGCACCGGCATGGTGATCTCCTCCTTCTCCCAAGAGGTGTACCACATGTACCTCAGCATCGGGATCATCTCTGGTGAGTGCGCTGCCCAGGCTCAGAGGTTCTCAACATACGTGTTTTAAAGAACAAGGAAGGCACAAGAGGAGATGAAACGCAAATTGCATTTCTTCTTTTATTTTCTTCTCCTTTTTAAAAAGTTTATTTCTTTAGGCAAGCAGGTGATTTGGAGGTTAAGGCAGTTGGATCCCACATGGCCAACTTAGAGGTTTGAGCCCCGAACCCGGCAGCTTAAAAATCATGCTGAGTTCCTGTGCATACCCAAAATCCAGAGAGGAGACTGGATTACAACATGGCCATCCCCCCAGGGGGTGATTTCTCACTTTCTCTCTCTCTCTCTCTTTCTCTCTGGTGAGCACATATACTGTATATTAAAAAACATATACACATTTTTTTTTCTTCCATGAGCAAGAGAAAGAGACAGAGAAAGAGAGACAGCAAAACTTCCAACAGGGTCTTGATGCCATAATCCACCCCTAGCCTCAGTCAGTCCCAGATCATAGGCAGGCATGTGCTTTCTGTGCTCAGAAGGTCTTGGGATACGAACCCAGACATCCCCAGGTGGGTCAGGGTTGCAGAGCACTATGTTTTACAACCATCCGGCCTCCTCAAATTGTATTTCTTCCTCTTGTTCTCATTTTTTTAATTAAATGATTGTAAACTAGGCTATGTGGATAGAAACCTGTACTCAAGTGCCTAAGCGTTTTTGGTTTTGTCTTTATATTTTTTTGTTTTCCTATTTACTAACAATGTAGACAACTTATTTTTTTGCTATACAGGTTGAGTCTCTAATCTGAAAATCCAAAATGCTCCAAATTCCAAAACTTTTTGAGCATCAGCACATTCCCACAACTAGAAAATTCCACACCTGATCTCCCGTGACAGATTGCAACCAAAATGCTGCACTACAAAAATATTGTACAGAATTACCTTCTGGTTATGCATATAAGGTGTAGGTGGAACATAAATGAATTTCATGTTTAGACTTGGGTCTCATCCCCAAGATATCTCATTATGTATATGCAAATATTGTACATTCGGAAAAATTCAAAATCCAAAGTAGTTTTGGTCCCAAGCATTTCAGATAAGAGACACTCAAACTGTAGTCCATAGCTAAAGGACAGAATTTTCACAAAGTAAAAGAACTGAAATTCCTTAGTGGGTATTTCTCAAATCAGGGCCTGAGGATCCAGGGCTTTATGGGGAGTGACAATCTGCTGGAGTTATTCTGGGGAATCTAAGAAACTTTGTTCCCTTTAAAAGGAGTCTACACATTACTCATAGATAGATAGATACACACACACTTTCTAAGATTTGCACACTTAAGATCATATATTTCAGGACTAGCAGATGGCATAATGGTTACGTCACTGGACTCCCAAGTCGTCGACCATGGTGTGAGTCCTGGACGTGATGGCTTAAAACTCACGTTGAGTGTGTGTATGCATATGTGCCCAAAATCCTGAGAGGAGACTAGAGAAGGGACCATCCCCCCCGGGGGGGGGTAATTTCTCGCTTTCTGTTTCTCTGTCTCTCTCCGTCTCTCTGGCGTGTATACACACCCTATAGCTAAAACCTCTCTCAAAAAAAAAAAAAAAACACATACGAAAACCAAAAAGGTCATATATTTCTGCAGAAGACGTCTTTATTTCCAAATACGACCCTTTTTTTTTTTTCTTTGTTTTGCCACAGAGCATGTGCCTGGCCAGAGAGAGAGAGAGAGAGAGTGAGAGAAAGCAAGAAATTACCCCCAGTGGGGCATGGTCGTGCTGCAATCCCTTCTCTATTTGTCCCTTTTTTTGTGATTTTGGGCATGCATGCACACATGCCCAATATGTTTTTCAAGCCACTGGGTCCAAGACTTGAACAGCACAGTTGGCCATGTGGGATCCTGTCACCTCAACCACCAAATATAATTTTTACATTAAAGCTATATTCAGTAATAGTTTTGTTCCGTCTGCATTATATAAATTTGAAAAATGCAGAAAAGTTAAAAAAAAAAAAAAGAGAGAGAGAGAGAGAATCGTTTTGATACTCCTTACATCCCAAAACATCTGTTGCAGGTTATTCATACTTTTAATGAAACCCAGTTTTCTTTGCAATATCACCTTCTTCCAGAATGAATTATTGGACTCCCAAAATTTCTGATTCAAGAAACAAAAACTGGGGGAACCAGCAGTTAGCATAATGGCTATGTTGCTGGACTCCCACGTAGCCAACCGCGGTTCGCGTCCCAGACCCGGTGGCTTAAAACTCACGCCAGGCACGTGTGAGTGCGTGCCCAGGATCCTGAGAGGAGAATGGAGGAGAAGGGATTGCGGCGTGACCATCCCCCCTGGGGAGTGATTTCTTGCTTTCTGTCTCTATGTCTCTCTAGCTGTCTGGCAAGAGCATGCGCCCTATAGCGAAAACCTCTCAAAACAAAAACAAAAACAACAACAACAACAAAAACTGCAGATCTTTGAATGCATCTTTCCAGTAGCAAGACGTGTGTGGTCCTCACTGTTCTGACTCTCCCTCACAGGCCTGGGGTACTGCTTCAGTTTCCTCCCCACCGTAACCATCCTGTCACAGTACTTCGACAGAAGACGCTCCGTAGTGACTGCGGTCGCTTCTACAGGAGAGTGTTTCGCGGTGTTTGCTTTTGCCCCAGGTAGGCGGACCCCCGTTATCTCTGTATTCGTGTGGACAAAGGGAAGCCACTCCGATATTCTTTGCTACTTTAACTTTTGCCAACAATGTGGATGATGTTCATTTTAGGCATAATGAACTCATTTGCCTCATTTGCCCTCTTCTCTCCAGCACGTTTTTTTTTTTTTTGGATACATCCTCCCGAATCCCCATTTCAAACATTCAAACCACTTTGGGACCAGCAGATGGCGCAATGGTTACATTGCTGGACTCCCACATAACCGCCGTCTGAACCCCAGACCTGGTAGTATAAACTCACACTGGGCACATGTGCATGCGTGCCCAAAATCCCAAGAGGAGAATGGAGGAGAAGAGATTGCAGTATGGCCATCTGCCCTCACCCAACCAGTGGAGGGGGGAGGTGGTGACTTTCTGCTTTCTTTCTCTCTCTCTTTCTCTCCAGCACGTGCATACGCCCTATAGCAAAAATCTCTCTCTAAAAAAATAATTCAAACCAGTTTAATAATAGTCCAGGTTTACATCAATAGGATGATACTCGACAAATGTCCAGTGGTGAGGCTTTCTCGAAACATATATTCCACAGTAATGGCATGATTTGGGATTGTTCATACTATACATTCTCTCCTTTGTCAGAAGAGCTGTATTTCATGTAGACTTAAGTTATGCTAATAAAGTCAGTTCTACTATCTGTGTGTGGGTAACCTGATAGCAGAATGTGTATCCCTGGCTTATTTCCTTATCTTAATGTTAATATGTGAATTACACTCTAACAAGTTGTAGAGAGATAACCTTGGATCGGAGCTAGTGGCGCAGTCGGTTAGCACCCAGTTCTTACGCGATCAGTACCAGATTCGTTGCTTCCTCAGAAGTTCTCCATACACATGGCCGTGTGTTGCATTCTGTTCCTAGGAAACACAGTATTCCATAACGTCCGAAGTTCTTCAGGTGGTCCCCAAACCCGAATATATGTGGGCATATAGAGAGCGAGGCTAGCTGCAGTGGCTCGCAGTAATGCAATGCTCAGAGATGCTCTGCACTGCTGAAGACACATGGGAAGGTCCCGGGTTTGCTTCCCGAGGTCTCCCTGTGCGTGCTAGGCATGCGTGTTGCAGGTCTGGAATCCTGGCTGGCTGGGAAGGGAGTGGATGTGAGGACCCTAGTGGATGGCCTGTACCTCCCTCTCTCTCCAGTTGAATAAATAAATAAACTTAAATACACACACACACACACACACATAGAGAAAAGGAAGAGACAGAGAAAAATACTAATGAGGTGAAGGGCAGGCATGTAGGTGTCATTCTTCCTATTTGTTGTTGGTTGGAAATGTTTCCAAACTGAATGTTGAGAGGAGAATAAATCAGTAGACAGTGAATTTCCTGGAGTGGAGACTGTGCCTCAGTGAAATTTGTTCCCTGGCACTGGGCAGGGAACTTAGTAGGCACTCAAGAAAGATTAAAGGGAGAAAGGAACATTAGACCAATTACTGCCAGATGAGCACACAGAGCACTTGGAAGTGTGCAAGCCTAAAATATTTTGCAATTCTAAGTTTTCCCTATTAACGAAGGGGACGAGAGCTGTGAATTAAACAAATGCTAGCAAGACTAGTAGAGCCTCCCGAGGAATGTGGGGTTCTCCGGCCACGCTGACCTAACTAACCAGGTTACCAAAAGTCTACACGTGACTGCCAGGTCTCAGAATCAGCATACACTAAGTTGGGGGCGGGGGGACAGCAGATGGCAGTGTGGTTAAGACACTGGACTCCTACATGGCTGACTGGTTCGGGTCCCAGACATGGTAAAACTCACACCAGGCACACGTGTGCATGCCCAAAATCTCAGGAGGAGAATGGAGGAGAAGGGAATGCAGCATGATCATCCCCTGGGGGGTGATTTCTTACTTTCTCTCTTATTGTCTTTCTCTTCTCCAGCAAGTGCATGTACCCTATGGCAAAAAAAAAAAAAAAAGTAGTGCAATAAGTTGAAATTGTAATGAGCATCACTTAACCTCTCTGGGATGATCAAGAAGATGCTTTGAGATCTTGTGGGGCCTGGGCTGTCCTACTGCAGCTCTGGAACTTAAAGCTCTATTCATATCCTCCACCTCACTTTTCTGGTCCAGCCCAACTCCTAGGCCACCTCTGGTCAGCAGCTGAGGGCCCAGCCTAGTAGCAGAAAGGAGGAGAACTCAGGTTGTTAAGGACACACCCAGACAGAAACAGGAGAATTACATCATTTAATTCTAGGACAGTCATGTGAGCTTTTAGATTCTTAGCGTAGATGCTTAGCTTTTTGTTGTTGTTTTTGCTTTTTGTTAAGTTTACTTATTTCTTCTGAGAGAGTAGGGGATTGAAGACCACCACTAGGGTCTTTTTCTTTTTTCTCCCCTTTTGGAGAGGTTTTCGCTATAGGGCACGTGCGCTCTCCAGACAGACAGAGAGAGACATAGAGACAGCGAGAAATCACCCCCCAGAGGGGATGGTCACGCTGTAATCCCTTCTCCTCCACTCTCCTCTCGGGATCTTGGGCACGCATGCACATGCGCCCGGCGTGAGTTTTAAGCTACCGGGTCCGGGACGCAAACTGCGGTCGACTACGTGGGAGTCCAGCAACATAGCCATTACGCTAACTGCTGGTTCCCATACCACCTCTATGGTCTTCATGCCCCAGGTCACCCCCAGCCTTAGCAGTCAGAATCAAGGGCACATGCTCATACACACTCGGTGTGCACAGGGAGTCCTGCAGATGAGAACCTGGGACCGTTCCGCATGGTCTCAGCACCATGGAGCACTGCTTTGCCGCTGCGCCACTGCCACCAGCCTGTTTTTATAATCCACTACTCCCAAGGACTGAATGCATGGAAATGTGATGATACAGCTCAGAGGCTAGTACGTTCCTTTTGCAAAAGACCAGACAGTGAATATTTTAGGCGTTGCGGATTACGTCTCTCTGCCCCAATTACACAACTCTGCTGTTGCCGTGTGGGAAATCCATAGGCGAGGGACACAAGTGCGTGGCTGTGCTGCCCTCAAGCCTGAGCAACAGGTAGGCAGGGGAGCGATCGGATCTGCCACGCGAGCCTGCTCAGTGAGCCTTGATGTGGGTCACAAACTTATCTCCCTTCTGTGCCACTATCTAGAAAACGTACTCTCCAAAGCTCTGTCAGAGACCTGGGCTGAAAGTTCGGGTTTTATATAAAATAAGTAGTATGTATATTTTCTCCTCATTGATTCATAAAATGCACCAAAACCTAGAATAAAGAACAGTGCAGATCGAGTGCTTTCACGATGCTGAATACATTTTCACAGTGACACAGCCATCAGACTAGATGCCCTGTGAGGTTCACCCACGTGGGAAGGGTCCAGGTTCGTGTCCAGAGACCTCCCTGAGTACACCCATAACCTAGGGCTAGCTGAGGCCGGGGGTGGATTGCAGCATCGAGACTGATGGGGTTCCTGTCTCTCTCCCTCTCTCCCTCTTTTTCTCTCTCTCTCTCTCTCTCTCTCTCTCTCTGTGCCTCACTCATGGTAGAAATACATAAATAGTCTTTGTAAAAAGCTTTTTCAGAAAAATTATTACTAAGGCCAGCAGATGGCATAGCAGTTAAGTCGCTGGACTCCCACATGGCTGACCGTGGTTCAAGTCCCAGACCCAACGGCTTCAAACTCACACCAGGATCATGTGCATGTATGCCCAAGATCCCAGGAGAAGAACAGTGGAGAAGAGATTGTGGTGTGGCCATCCTCCCTGGGGGGTGATCTCTTGCTTTCTGCCTCTCTATCTCTCTCTTCAGCAAGCACACACTCCCTATAGCAAAAAAATCTCTCCACAGAAAAAGAAAAATGATTACTAAATGCAAATCTCTATCTCTTTTTGCTATTTTCTCCTGGGTCGCGAGTCCCTTACTCACCTCAGATTTGGTTTCTTCATTCCTTCCTCTTCCAGCCATCACAGCACTGAAGGAGCGCATCGGCTGGAGATACAGCATCCTTTTTGTGGGCCTGCTACAGTTAAACATTCTCGTCTGTGGAGCCCTGCTCAGACCAATTATTATCAGAGGACCAGGGTCACCAAAAATCGTCACGCAAGAAAACCGCAAGGAAGCGCAATACATGCTGGAAAACGAGAAGACGCGAACGTCAATCGACTCTATCGACTCAGGAGTAGAACTAACTACCTCACCTAAAAACGTGCCTAGTCACACCAACACAGAACTGGAGCCCAAGGCCGACACGCAGCAGAGCCTGGTCAAAACCAGCGCCAAGCAAAGGGAAAAGAAAGCCCCCCTATTAGACTTCTCCGTGCTGAAAGAGAAAAGTTTTATTTGCTATGCATTGTTTGGTCTCTTCGCCACACTGGGATTCTTTGCCCCTTCCTTATACATCATCCCTTTGGGCATCAGTCTACACATTGACCAGGACCGCGCTGCCTTTTTATTATCTACAATGGCAATTGCTGAAGTTTTCGGAAGAATCGGAGCTGGTTTTGTCTTCAACAGGGAGCCCATCCGTAAGATCTATATTGAGCTCATCTGCGTCATCCTATCCACGGTGTCTCTGTTTGCCTTTACTTTTGCTACTGAATTCTGGGGTCTGATGTCATGTAGCATATTTTTTGGGTTTATCGTGGGGACAGTAGGAGGGACCCATATTCCGCTACTTGCTGAAGATGACGTCGTGGGAATCGAAAAGATGTCTTCTGCAGCTGGAGTCTACGTCTTCATTCAGAGCATATCGGGGCTGGCTGGACCGCCCCTTGCAGGTAACACACAAAACACAAGGCTCTGCCTCCTTTCCCTTGTTAGTTGTCCTAGCTTCCTGTTCAAGTCTAATTTTGAAAAACCTAGTTCCATTTTTAAACTTCCATGGAATTTTAGAACTGCCGGGGATTATGCCTGAGCCAGGTTGGCCCAGATGGTGGTGCAATGGTCAAGTGTCATGCTTTCTGAGGTGGACCTCCATGAGAAGGTTCTGGAAGTCCAGAGACTTCCCTGAGTACACAGGACACACATGTGCCTGTGGTCCAGGGTTGGCAAGGGCTGAGGGTGGATCATGATGTTCAGACTGTGTGTGTGTGTGTGGGGGGGG